CCCAAGACCCAGGGCAGGACTATTTAAGCCCTGCCAGGAAGAACTGGCCCCAGAGGACATGGCAGCGGGGGCTGTGGACACTGCGCTGCAGGAGGGAGGGCGTTGGCCCCTTTAGACGGCCGGTTCCATCTCCATCGGGGTGTAGCGCCGGCAGCGGCAGAGGTGCGATCCTCCAGACCCAGTATAGAACTAATTAAGCCTTGCTAGAAACAATCGGCACAGAGGACTCGATAAACTGGGGGGGGAGGCTTTTAAAAGATCAAATTGTTATTTGGATTCATTGGGAATGAGGATGATATAGACAATTACTTGTTGGTCTTCTGGGCCTTTACTAATTATTGTTGAGTGGATCTTTTAACATCTTTCTACTGGCCCAAACCCTTATTACCCTTCCCGAGGCGGGAAGAGAGACTGAGGTGGCTATAGGAGTAGCGTTGGGGAAAGGGAGATATGGCCGGAACAGAGTGGACAAATGTTACAAAAGAAAGCAGGATCGCTGTTTAGTAGCTATCCCGCCTTCAGTTCCCTCTGTTTCCCAGAATGGTTTGGGGAGCAGACCAACCATTCCACAGAGCCTCACTCTGCTCCTCTGCAATGCCAGGTTGGTAAAAAATAAGACACATATCATTCAGGATCTCCTCCTGGACGAGGATGCCGACCTGGCTTGCTTCACAGAGACCTGGCTGGGAGAGGATAACACTGCTACTTGGGCGCAGGCCCTACTAGCTGGGTACTCTGTTAGTGAGCAGGTGAGGGGAAGTGGGCGGGGGTGTGTGTGGAGTGGCTCTAGTTCATAAGAACAATCTGACCTTGACCAGGATACCTATCCGGAACACGATCCACTTCGAGTGTATGTACCTTAGCCTGAAGAATAGGGATAGTTTGGGGATTCTGTTAGTCTACCGACCACCCCGTTGTCTAGCAGACTCCCTAACCGAGCTGACACAGCTGGTCTCCGAGCTTTTGTTGGAGTCTCCCAGACTTTTGGTTTTCGGGGACTTCAACATTCCACTTGAGACCAGCCTAACAGGTGCGGCTCGGGAGTTCATGGAGACCATGACAAACATGGGCCTATCCCAATTAGTCAACGGGCCCACACATTGTGCAGGTCATACACTCAATGCGGTCTTTAGTACAGAACAGGAATATCTGTGGGTGGAGATGGTAAGTACCTCCGCATTGTCATGGATGGATCATTTCCTGGTCAAGATGGAACTGAGAGCCAATGTCCGCCCTGCCGGGGGTGGTGGACCTATTAGAATGGTCCACCCTCAAAGGCTAATGGAGCCAATTGGATTTCAGAAAGCTTTAGAGGGGTTAATGGTTGGGAATGCCAGTGATCCTGTCGGGGCTCTGGTTAATACTTGGAATAGCGATCTCACCAGGGCTATTGACACGATCGCTCCCAAGCATCCTTGCCATCCTGCTTCAAATCGTAGGCCATGGTATACACCTTAGCTTAGTAGGTTGAAGTGGTATGGGCAACGGCTAGAGCACAGGTGGTGGAAAACTCGACTCTTATCTGACAGAACTCGC